CATTCTTTATCCTCCAAACACGTCTAGTTGAGTTTTTACCAAAAAGTTCTATTTGGTTTCATCTGACCATATGACATTCTCCCAATCCTCTTCTGGATCATCTAAATGCTCTCTAGCAAACTTCAGACGGGCCTGGACATGTACTGGCTTAAGCAGGGGGACACGTCTGGCACTGCAGGATTTGAGTCCCTGGCGGCGTAGTGTGTTACTGATGGTAGCCCTTGTTACTTTGGTCCCAGCTCTCTGCAGGTCATTGACTAGGTCCCCCCGTGTGGTTCTGGGATTTTTGCTCACCGTTCTTGTGATCATTTTGACCCCACAGGGTGAGATCTTGCGTGGAGCCCCAGATCGAGGGAGATTATCAGTGGTCTTCTATGTCTTCCATTTTCTAATAATTGCTCCCACAGTTGATTTCTTCACACCAAGCTGCTTACCTATTGCAGATTCAGTCTTCCCAGCCTGGTGCAGGTCTACAATTTTGTTTCTGGTGTCCTTTGACAGCTCTTTGGTCTTGGCCATAGTGGAGTTTGGAGTGTGACTGTTTGAGGTTGTGGACAGGTGTCTTTTATACTGATAACGAGTTCAAACAGGTGCCATTAATACAGTTAACAAGTGGAGGACAGAGGAGGCTCTTAAAAAAGAAGTTACAGGTCTGTGAGAGCCAGAAATCTTGTTTGTTTGTAGGTGACCAAATACTTATTTTACCGAGGAATTAACCAATTAATTCATTAAAAATCCTACAATGTGATTTCCTGGATTCTTTCCCCCCATTCTGTCTCTCATAGTTGAAGAGTACCTAGGATGAAAATTACAGGCCTCTCATCTTTTTAAGTGGGAGAACTTGCACAATTGGTGGCTGACTAAATACTTTGTTGCCCCATTGTATATGGATACATACATGTGTGGAGGGAGATGGGTTTGGTACGTTTTTTTCCCTGTGCAGAAAATGTATGCAAGAGCTACTCAGAAGAAGACAATATGAACCAACCTGTGTATGTCAGGTAAATGACGCAGAGAAAAACCACTCCAGCAGCCAGAGAGACTCCCAGGAAGAACATAGTCTGGAACTCCTGCTTGGTGAGTCTGTCCTTCAGGTACTGCAGGAAGGCGTAGATCTGCAGCAGCACGAACACTCCTGCAGAGAAACGCTTAGTTTTGTAGAAAATATCTTTATGAGCCAGATTGGAAAATACATATGTACCCCGACGCTTTAAAAAAAATCAAGTTGATCTTAAAACGATAATGACACGCACACAGCAAAAGTGTTGTTGGTTGATGTAATTGTGGGCAGTATGGATAGGAGACCCCTTCCTAATTCCGTTTTGATGTAATGAAATGGATAGGCATAAACCACTGTCCTTGTTCTGTGTCATCAATCAGTTCTGAAGTTCAGCTGATGCTAATCAGCTAAAGGCTTTGGCAGTCTGAGTTAGTCAAGTGGGTAAGAGGCAGTGTTGTAGTCAAGTCACCAATTCACGAGTCCAAGTCACTCTTCGAGTCCAAGTCCGAGTCACCAAGGGAGAGTCGTAGTCGAGTCCGAGTCCAAGTCTGAGTCACCCAAGGAGCGTCCAAGTCGAGTCCGAGTCATCATTACCTGTGTTCGAGTCCGAGTCCAAGTCTGAGTCACCTAAGAAGAGTCCAAGTCAAGTCTGAGTCATCATTACCTGTGTTCGAGTCAGAGTCCAAGTCCGAGTCACCTAAGAAGAGTCCAAGTCAAGTACGAGTCACAAGTCTTCATATATTAACCTTTGTGGATATATGTGTTGAAATGTAGCTGCTCCTCTACATTGCTTTTATCCTGTCATGGTATACTAATCGAACTGCTGTGAAGAGAGTTTGGCTACAATTCTTGTAATAGGTGCTATACAAATATAAAGCTTATTACTAATATTAATATTATTATTGTAAATGACCTTTAATGTGTCTAACTATATTTAAAATGAGTTACCTTTTAGAGAAGTGATTATATTTATATGCAAATATTTTTCCTATGGTAAAGTTTTCGTTTTGCACTTTTTGAACTCGATCCTTAGAGTCATGTGTTACGGAGCCTTCTCTTCAATATTGTTTTCCACATAATGAGCATTTTGCGCTGCTCTTTTCCAATGTGGAAGCAAAATGTGTGAAAGCATACAGCACGATGCGGGGTGTGTCTCTAGACATCTCTAGACTGGAATAGCGGGGCCCAGTACGTGAACTCGCCTCACAGGTGTATGCCAGGATAGAGGACATCAGACTCCAGAGAAAACTTGCTCGAGTCCGAGTCCAAGTCGGAGCGCCAATGTACAAGTCGAGTCCGAGTCATCGTGGGGGGGAAAATTCACGAGTCCGAGTCTAAGCCAGAGTGTCAATGTACAAGTCGAGTCCGAGTCATCGTGGGGGGGAAAATTCACGAGTCCGAGTCCAAGTCAGCGTACGCGAGAATTCACGAGTCCAAGTCCGAGTCGCGTCAATCAGTGCGCGAGTCCGAGTCGAGTACCGAAAATCGGCACTCGTACTCCATCTCTGGTAAGAGGATATAGTCTTCATGGTATGGAAAGCCCTCCTGCATCTATGAACAGTGTACACAATGACGATCACTTATTACAGCAAACAGTCACACTTTCTGAGGACTGAATATATGGGTATACGAGTACCGTATTAAGAGACTTGAAAAATGAGAACCCATGTTTTTGCACTGCAATATACAAATGATTGGAACTTTTGAATGGGACCACAGGTTGCTGGTTACTGACCTGCGGCGGCCATGTGTTCACTGGTCCTGATTGGCTGAAAGCCCACAAAAGGGATCTGCATGGACAACACCAGGCCGATGATGTAGAAGGTGCTGTAAGCTGGTGGGAGAAACAAATGGTTATGAACAGTATAAGACAAGCTACTATCTACTTACTGACAAGTGATCACATTCATTGGATTTATATACCCATAAAATGTGTCCACAATAACAGAATGATATTCAATTATTTCATTTTAGTGCTGCGCTTGATTGGATCAATCCCTGCTTGCTAGGTTACAGCAACAAATGAGTCTCTTCAGCTTTTCAGACGATCATTTAAAGATATTCCAGTACAGTATTTGTGCTTCATCCGAAAGCTAAAGAGAACCTAGCCTGTTTATGTACTTTCCGCACCTTGATATGTCATTATTACCACAGGATAATGATCTGGTATAGTATGTGTTGGTTATTGATCTGGATGTGAAACAATGGTAATGTGTTACAGCATCATTACGGACCTTGGAGCCTTAGATCAGAAATCGATTCAAGATCAGAAAGGCAAAGTCTTTGAAAGTGAGACGGCTTTGATTTTCTTTCCCACTTTCTATATATCTTAAAGTACTTTCATCACATGTCTCTTCTCCTCTGTGGGACTTGTGTAAGCTTGATGTCTGTCTCATTATAAACACAGCATCAGCTGCTATTCATTATTATTAACAGCTACTCTGTTACCTCCAAATCAATGTGTGTACGTTCATGACTTTGAATGTCAAAAGAAACCTGTGTGTGTGTGTGTGTGTGTGTGTGTGTGTGTGTGTGTGTGTGTATCTCACCTATGTAGACTCTCCTACTGTAGCGCTGCATGAGCAGCAGGACAAATACATGAAGTGGAATCAAGTTGATGATGAACACGTATCCACCCCAAGCAGACACCTGTGAAACAAGCAGAGTATTTTCTCATTCATTTAGAGCTTTCGCAGCAGTTCTCAAAATATAAATAAGAGGTGTAACTATTTGGTTTATGTATGCACACAATGAACATACACAGCTGCCAGCTAGATCTCTGCTAAATATGTGCCATGCTTCTGCAGCAGAATCATAATATCAGAATCAGTGTGACGAGCCCACGAGTCCCTGTAGGCTGCCAAATGAAAGGTGGCTGTGATTCTATGACTCGCTTTCATAATGGGAGATGTAAAACCAAGAGGTAGGGGGCAAAGCTGCACAGCCCACCTGAGAGCTGCGAAATGTACGACTAATATATTATGACTACAGTGCAGAGGTCACGTTAACCAAATATTTCCGTCTATGACGGATTTTGTTTAACAATGACGGAAAAATCTGAAAGCAGTCTGTCATTTTGACAGATTAGAAGAAACTCGGAACAGCACGCAGGGTAATAATGGATTATGGTGGAAATGTTACGATCCTGTCCGAAAAAGTCAAATGCCACCTCTGCTACAGCGTTAAGACTACTCAGCAGCGTTTCCGACAGGGGGGCATCTTGCCGTCATTTGATGGCCTTATTCAGCTCGGGATGCCCTGAACGCGAGCCGAGGGCGTCCAAAAACATTAATAATTCGAGAGTTTTTATCACTTGAAATGACGAAAAGGAAACAGGACAAGGACATCCCTCTGTTGGAGGGGCAAAAGAGTCTGGTGGGATTCCTTTCGGAGTATTGAAGATCGTTTCCCCGACATCGAAGGTGCCTGCTACAGGACAACACGGAACGTGCGCGATTTGGACGCAATGAGCGGGGGATTTTAGTGGAGCACGCGCGTGAGCTGCGAGCGCCGGAGCCTCGCAGCGGCGATACTGAGGCTCCGTGTTAAACTGTGGTAACATGAAGAGCTGTTTGGGAGTCGAAACAGCCGGCGCTTTAAGAGAGCCGAGCCAAATGATCCGACTCACTAACGTAAAAAGATAGTATCTGTAAGGGACGGCTCAAGTCAAAATTCAAACCCCCCCCCCCCCCCCGCTCTCGGGGTGGACGCTCTCTCACCCTGGTCTGGCGGAAACACTGCTACTCAGATTATGCTGCTGGTTCAAAAACCCTGCAAAGGCACACAAACACACAGAAAAACAGACATGCACATATTTTCAAGCTTGTGCTTTTAGCTTGTTCTCTATAAGCGTAACATAATTCTTGGTGGATAAGCAGCTGCAAGAGAAAAGGTGTCACAGCTTATAGTGTAATGATAAATGAGTTCCGGTATGTGTTCTCACCATGTAAAAATAGGAGAGGCAGCATCCAATAGTCCAGAAAACAGATCCCGTCTTCACCGACTTCACCTGATGAGCAGCAACCAACACACAACAAGTTTTTAAGTCATTGTAGTTCAGAGATGTGTTATCAGGCCACCAGTGCCTCTGATGAAGTGACAGTGTTGAAATTGGGAGACAGAAGGGATGAAAGGCAACAAATGGTCCCAGGCTGGATTGGAACCCAGCTCCCCAGCAAGTTTTACCAGATGAGCTACAGGGCAGCCCATGCAGCTTGACTATTCAAGTGTATTACCCAGCTATTAACAAAGAGCAGCCACCTCAAGCAGCAATGGCAACTGTTATAAATAGCTGCATTCAGGAGAGTCAGGTCTAAACACTAATAAAGTATGTATGGGCCAGTGTTTCCCACAGAATTTGATTCTATTTGTGGGGGCACCGCACCGCACCCCCCCCCCAACGTTCTTGTTGCTCTGTGTTGCGTTGTTAATGAGTGAAACACACCGGAGTTGAGGATCTGTGGGTTA